GTCCTGGCGGCGTCCTGGCGGCGCCCTGGCGGCGTCCTGGCGGCGTCCTGGCGGCGTCCTGGCGGCGTCCTGGCGGCGTCCTGGCGGCGTCCTGGCGGCGTCCTGGCGGCGTCCTGGCGGCGTCGTTGCGATGGAGACGTCGCCAACAAAGCGACCAAACAAGGCTGGCGTCGCCAGGGCCGCGCGACGACGAGGAGGTGGCGCGCCGCGCGGCTGGCCCCCGCCCCGCCCCGCCCCGCCCCGCCCCGCCCCGCCCCGCGGCCGGCCCAGGGCATACCGGGCCGGCACTACAGTGCACTGGCCACTAGCCGCGCCGAGCCAAGCGGAAACCACAAGGAATGCGGGTAACGGCGTATCGGTACGATTGGAGCGCCGCGAAGTACGAAGTACCGAGGACTGCAGTCGCCGCTCTCGGAGTGCACCCCGCTGGAGAGTCATCCCTGGTGGAGAGCCCCGAACGTGTGACCCCACCAATGGATTGCTCTCCGAACGAGGAATCCATTGGTGGGGTCGCACGTTCGGTTCGAGCCTCACTTAGCGACTCTGGAGCTCAAAACGCGTCTAGAGTTTTGTCCGCCTGCGCCGGTCTTCTGGCCCACTGTGGCACGGCACGGCCAAAGAGACGCGCTCGGTGCCGCCCATTGAATCGCACCGAAATGCAGTTATTCCAGGAAGGCTCACTCCGCGGCGCGCTGGCGAGGCGGCTCGAATTATAAAACCATTACAGTGGTGGCGCACAAAATCAAGAGGCAGAAACATAAATCATGCCGCGAAGCGGACGAGGAACTAGTCCGGCCGCGCGACACCGACACCGCGCAGGGCTCCGTCCACTACACTGGCAACGAAGTCAAGTCAAATCGGCTGAAACCAACAGCTTTAGCATTTTTGTCGTGGCAAAGTAGACACAGGGCCCTTTCTTAGCCGAAATTATCTTACTAAGAGCATTAACTAATTTGTGGTCTACTTGACTTGAATTTTCTACAGCACGTCTCTTGGCAGCGGCGAGGTTTTAACGGTGTTGAAAAAAAATTCTATCTCAACAAGTCTCACGGTCCAAAATTTCAATCCATAAGCTCACTGGTTTTGTTTTCGAGGAGAGTTGCTGAGTCCAGCATCTTGCGACATGCCGCTCCGGAGCCCTGCAGCCCGAGGGACGTCGGACGTCGTTCGGTCAACAACATTTTCGCCGCTGCCGACTCAAAGACCGGTTTCAGACATTTGCCAAACAATCTGCGTCAATGGGATCAATGACTCCCCTCCTCAGAGCAAATAATTTTCCTTTTTTTTTTTCCACGGCAGCCTTTTAAGATTGATGTTATTTGAAAAAATACCACCGTTCGCGCGCAAAACAAAACGCTCATCCCCCATTTATAAATAAAAATAACCCAGTTCCAAAAAAAGCCGCTTCAGCCGCATGGGTGCTTCCTGTCCGTTTTCAGAAACGCCACGAAAGTCGAAGCCCGCGGGCAATAAACACCAACCCGAGGGGGAAAGAGAGGAAAGATGCGAGAAAAAAAAAGAGGTCGGTATCGGGTCAACCGGCAGCGACGCGAGGGAGACAGCGAGGCGGGCGAGACACGCAGCCGGAGGCGGGACCATCGCACGGCACGGCACGGCACGGCACGGCACGGCACGGCACGCGGCCCGACTCACGCATGAGATAAATTTTAAAGCGAAATTAGCGAACGGAATAATTACAGACAGGCGCGGCACGCAGACGGCCTACTTCGAGCGGTATGCGCATGCGCGGCGCGGCACGGCGCGGCACGGCACGGCCTGAACCGGAAACGGCGGCAGCGCACCGCCTATGCAAAATTAGTTTTTCCCTCGACAAAGGCTACGGCGACGACGGCGGCGTACGGTGCCGACCCGACGACACGGCACAGGCTGATGGCGAACAGTGCACTCTCTCTCGCACCCAAGTGGCGGGCCGCAAGCGAGAGAGAGAGAGAGAGAGAGAGAGAGAGAGAGAGAGAGAGAGAGAGGGGGGGGGGGAGGGGGCGCTGTTCAGAGCCAGCCGGGTCGAACACGACGGCGTCGACCCGGCCGGGTAAAAATAAGGTTGAACCGTGACGCCGACGTCAGGGCTCAGGGCGTCAGTTGGACCGTCGGACGGACGGACAGCGGCGAGAGGATGAGGGCCTGCCAAGGACCAGCCGGCCAGAGCGGCCAGTGCCACATGTTCCGCATCCGGTGGCTCTTCAGTCTTTCAGTCTGGCCAGAAGTCCTTCCCGATTCACCACCAGACACCGTGGGGGGCCTTCGGTTGCCTTCAGTACGCAGCGGACAGGCCCTCCTTTCAGAGAGGAAGAAATAGAGTTGCTTGAAGCAGTCGCATTTTAAAATGACACGTGGACACGAGTGTCGATGAGATTCGCACACGCACACACGCGCGCACGCCACCGCCTCCGCTTTTGACACTTACGCCAGGGCGTCGCGCGCTGCAGTAAACAAGATGAGAGGCTGCATTCTACATATATATATACCGGCTGAGACCGGACCAGTTTCCGCCTGGAACGCAAGCAGCAGGCGGAGGCAGAGGAAGGAGGGGGGGGGGGCCTCACTCACCCATCCCACGCGGCGCCCCTTTGAGGCAGTATGATTGCGCGCGCTTAATTGATGTTAACTGGAGCACTTATTTCGCGGAGACGGGGCGCGGCGTGGCGCGGCGCGGCGGGGCACGGCGGGGCAGGCGTTACGTGGACGCGTCGAGCTAGTTGTGATCCGGTCGTCGCAGCCTGGAACGCCTGGAAGGCTCGCAGGTCCTCGGCCGGCTACATAACGTGACGTTCGGTAACGATCGGCCGGTCGGTGGTTGGGCCACACGGAACGCCAACGCCAACGCCGCAGGAGCAGGCCGGAGGAAACACAGAAACGCGGACAGGCGGACAGACAGACAGGCGGACGGACGGACAGACAGACAGACAGACAGACTAGCAAACAAACCAAAGCAAGCGCGAAAAAAAAGTTTCCTGCACCATATAACAACACCTCGATCACGCGATAACGTGTAGTCTTAGCGTGTCTCCATCTTTCGTTTTAGATTTCGTTTCGTTTTTATTTGACCGTACGCCGGCTTTTTAGAGTGTGTCACCTTTGCGTGTGTGCGGCCACGAGCCGGCCGAGTCAGCGAAGACCACGAGACCAAGATCTAGCTCGAGGAGCAGGTCTGGAGCAGGAAGGCTGCTGCAGACTGTTCGTCGCACAGTGGGCCAGAAGAACGGCGCAGACGGCCAAAACTCTAGACGCGTTTTGAGCTCCAGAGTCGCTAAACAGGACTCAAACCGAGCGTGTGACCCCACCAATGGACTCCTCGTTTGGAGAGCTATCGATTGGTGGGGTCACAAGTTCAGTTCGAGTCCCATTTAGCGTCTCTGGAGCTCGAAACGCATCTAAAACTTTGTCCGCCTCCACCGGTCTTCTGGCCCACTGTTCGTCGGCGGCGTCAAAGTCGACGCCAGGCGGCCAGCCATTCCCCGAAGGAGGAATGGAATGGAGTGGCCCCGATAGGGCCAATCCCAATAATGCTCCTAGATTCATTTAGAAGCCCTGCTCCGCGCCGCGCGCCGCGTTCTGCCGCTCCAGACCGTAGAGACAATGGGCCGATGACTGCGCCGGATTGGATTCAGGCCGCCGACCCCGATTTCAAATTGCCCGTGGCTTATCACCAGCGGCACGGCACGGCAGGCCACGGCGCAGCGCGGCACGCCACGGGTTGACACTCCAAGGTGACACCAGCCGGCCGACCCGCAGGTCGACCCGACCCGACCCGACCCGACCCGACCCGACCCGACCCGACCCGACCCGACCCGACCCGACCCGACCCGACCCGACCCGACCCGACCCGACCCGACCCGACCCGACCCGACGTCGACGTCACGCACACTCAAACTTGTCCGGCGCAATTTCGAGTCCGAGCACCGCCATTTTTCTGCTCGGATAAACTGTTTTGCGCGCGTCGACGGCAACCAGGACTCCGAAAGACAATTAGCCGATCAACGAGTCGACGCCTCCGCGCGAGGTAGAGACGACCCGCTCTGTCTCTCTCGCACTCGTGGGCCGTCCGCCAACGGCGCGAGGAGACGGAGCAGCCAGCTGGGACGGTGGGGCGCCGGGTCAAAGCCGTCGGCTCAATTTTTCATCTCGCTGTTCCACGCGCCGTCGGCAGGTACACGCCGGGTACGCGTACAAAGTGCGCTCTGAATTAAACATTCGAGGCCCGAAGCCCAAAGAGATGGGCGGTCGTAAACGAGCAGGCCCAAAGGCGGCGGCGCTGAGCTCGGCGTCGCCGCGAACCTCCTGGACCTAGGCCCAGCCGAACCGTGCCACAGTGGGCCAGAAGACCGGTGGAGGCGGTCAAAATCCCGGATGGGTTTTTGAACTCCTGAGTCGCTAAATGGGACTCGAACCGAACGTGTGACCCCACCAATGGATTGCTCTCCGAATGAGGAATCCATTGGGGGGGTCATACGTTTGTTGGAGTCATATCCAGCGACTCTGAAGCTAAAAACGCGTCTACAGTTTTGGCAGCATGCCCCGGTCTTCTGCAGAAAACTGTGCGCGCCGAACGTTCCAGACAGACGACCAATCAGCGAGCGGTATTGTTTTCGCCGGCACACGTCTAACGCGGGAGCCTCGCGAGTCTCATGAGCCTCAATGCCGCAATTAAGGAAATCGGGTGGAAGCTGGTTCGTACTCGCTCGGCTTGGGCGGCTGGGCCGGCTTGGCCCACCGTGACTCATGGTGTCAGTCTCATCAGGAGGAAGACGGGCAAGGACGAGGCGGCCAGGACGCGCCAGGACCCGCCAGGACCGCCCGCTGAGGAACGGCAGAGGCGGGGGCGGCGCTGCAGTCCACAGGCTGTCTCTCTCGCACCCCTACCCGCCTCCGCGACGCCCTATGAGTGCGAGAGAGACCGAGCGCCTGCGGGGTAGGCAACCGCGCGACAAGCGTGCCCGGCGGGACGGCCTACCAGCCGGGCTGTTCGCTGGAGCACTCACCCTTGGCCCAGCCGGTGAGCACGTTGCCGAGGTAGGCCACCTTGTAGGTGGGGTCGCTCTCGGTGATGACCACGGTCCGCCGCCGGCACAGCTTGCCCAGGCTCAGCTTGATGTTCTTGACGGTGAGCTGGCGCAGGTGGCGCGGCAGCGGCAGCCGGTGCGACAGCGAGGACAGCGACGACAGCGACAGCGTGGACATCCTCCGGCGGGGGACGTGCGGCGTGGTGCACCGGGACTCGTCCAGGTACCGCAGCAGGTTCACGGGCAGCGACACGACGGACGACGCCTTGGCGGCGCCGCGCCGCGCCGCCTCCACGGCGTCCTCGTCCTCCTCCTCGTCCTGCACGCTCTTGTGGCCCAGGTCCTCCAGGATGTCCTTCTCGCGCGCCGAGCCCTCCGGCAGCCTCGTCAGCGTCCTGGACAGCTCGGGCATGTCCTTGAGCCGCCGCGGGTCCTTGACGATGCTGGGGACGATCTTGTCCACGTACTCCTCCGTGCGGCAGTTGGTCCGCAGGTACTCGAAGATCTGCACGTTGGTGTCCGAGTCCGGACTGGACGGGTACAGCCCGTCGGTCGAGTCGCCCCTGTGTGGACAAAATGAGACGTCAGTGCCATCGGTCAAATCACTTCTCTTAAAATCTTCCCCGGGTAATCTTATTGCGGCGTATTTATCACAACCACTGACATCACTAAACGACTGATGCGGACTCGAAGCCGGCCCCGCGGAACCGACAACGGGCCAGAGGGGGCAATCACTGTCATCTTTCCGAAAACTCGCAGTGTCGATGCCCACTCAAACAGGCCGCACCACAGTGGGCCAGAAGACCGGTGGAAGCGGCCAAAACTCCAGACGCGTTTTGAGCTCCAGAGTCGCTAAACAGGACTCGAACCAAAAGTGTTACCCCACCAATGGATTCCTCTTTCGGAGAGCGATCCATTGGTGGGGTCACACGTTCAGTCCGAGTCAGGGGATTCTGGAGCTGAAAACGCGTTCGGGATTTTGGCCGCCTCCACGATGTCGACGGCGTCCCCGTGCCACTTACCCTGACATGGACTCGGTGCTGGCGAAGTGCCTGAGGATGACGGTGGGCGTCGCGGTGTCGGTACTGTGACTGCCGCTACTGCTGTTGGTGGTGTTGCTGCTGGTGCTGCTGACGGGGATGGCGTTCGAGGAGACGGAGCGGCGCTGGTGGAAGTCTTCCCTCCGCCGCTCGGCCGGGCGCTGGCCGTGCAGGCCGTGCTGGCCGTGCTGCACCAGCGCCCAGTCCTGGGGGTCCACGCCGCGCAGCCCCATGCCGCGGGCGGCCTCGGGGGGCACGACGGCGACCACGGCGCCGGGGACGACGAGGGGCACCGGCGCGGCGGCCGGCACCGGCATGGGCACGCTCATGGCGCGCCGCGGGGCAGCTCCATGGCGCAGCGGCGCAGCGGCCTCACAGTGTGCACACGCCGCGGGCCGCGAACACACTGGCGGGCACGGCGCGGGCAGAGCGGCGCGGTCGTGGAGGGGGAGGCGGCGTGGAACCGGGAATCACTGGAACAGACAAAAAGAGCGCTGTCGTCAGTATAATGGCGAAAATCACCCAGGTAATGTCAACCTTGCCATTAGCCGCACCGAGCCCGACCGAGCCCGCGCGGTCTCCCTCCGAAATGCGGCGCTTTCGTCGCTCCGTCTCTCTCGCACTCGCGGGGCGAGGCGCACCGGTGCGACAAGGACAGCGCGAAGGGCCTCGGAGTGCCGCGCCGCCGCCGCCGTCTCCGTCTGGAGGGCGGACACGATTTGCGAACGCACCCCCCCCCCCCCCCCCTGGACGGCGCGGTGGTTCAATGCCTCCTGGCTCGGACAAGCGCCACGGCACTGCAAGACCGGAGGAAGGTGGCGGAGCGGGAATTTGAAAAAAAAAGTGACGTGGAAAAACGGCCGGCGGGGAAAAAAATGAGAAAAATTTGACGTGATTGGAGCACTGCGAGGCGAGGGTCCGAACACTTGGGATGTAGGTGGTCCTGAGAAATCAATGCTCCCCCGCGCAAAAACTGCAGCCTTTCGGTGCCAGTGGGATCAGCCACAGGTCGGGCGGCCCGAGCCAGACACGGTAAGCACGTATGAGGCAAAAATTTCACATCTAGAAAATGGCGGGACCCGTAAAAAAATGAGACAGCCGTAAAACGTCGGCGTTCCTGAATTGCAAAATACCCCCGAAAAAGACGGGAGCGTGAGTGCAATTGGGGACCATCGTTTAGCATTACAAATGAACCAGTACTAAGTCGCAGGCGCGGTCGCCGGGGGGGGGGGGGGGGGATGAAGAGGGAGTGAGAGAGAGGAAGGAGAGATGAAAACAGGGAGGTTCCCACGAATTCACCAGAGAAGTCGCCACAAGGTTGAGCGAGTACACCGACAGGAACGGGCGCGGCGCAGCGGGGTGATTCGAACTGTCTCTCTCGCACTCACGCGGCGTCGCGCAGGCGCGCGAGAGAGACAGAGCACCGAAACGCAGTGCGGGATCGGCCTACAGCGTAGCGGCAGAGCGGCGGCAGCCACTTGGCCGTGGCCCCCAACGAGACGAGCTTAATTCGGACTAAAGGGGGACAGGCTCGAGTTATCCATCCGCAGTGAGCGATGCCGTGCCGTGCCGTGCCGTGCCGTGCCGCCACCTGCCGCAATGCCAAATAGAGCGGCTTAATTGAGAGTGCGCGGTACAGTGCTACGCAGCACTGTGCTCCGCGCCGTGCTCCCGGTAACGAGGCAACGAGGTTAGCGGCCAGGGTTCTAATGATAAGACGCGGACCCCCGAGGGGCCCAGTGCGCCTCGCAGGGTAGGCAACCCACTGCAAAGGGCGTTCCTTGCGCCAATGATGATTATTTACCTACACTCACTTTGCTCCAGTTGTACGTTATCTTTGTTCAAGAAATGCCTATGTTTTGGCGAGTCTTTATCTGTCTGTCTGACTGTCTGTCTGTCCGCTGGCCGTGCGTTCGCTTTCTTCACCCACTCGCGTGCACCCCGCCGCGAGCCCCGCCGTTTTTGCTAGAGCCGCGCGCCAAAATATCGACCTGCAGGTCTACCAACTTACGCCACTATCGCGATAAAATTAAGCAGTCGACTCGGGGGGGGGGGGCGACTGTGCGGGCACATGCTATATCGACCTCGCGGCACTGACCGCAACAACAGAAGTAGCGCACGAAAATGGCCGCACAGCCGGTCACTTCCAAACCCAAGCGAAATTTTTTTTTCGGTCGCAAACTTGGGGATGAGGAGGGACGATTACTTTCAGACTCCTAGGGCACCATGCAGTCCCCTGCCCGCCACAAGCACTGACTGTTTATTCGTTTCCCGTTCTTTGGCGTGTCGCGAAGAGTACCTCTGAAGGCCCCGCAGACTGCTGCAGACTGTCAATATTGTGCCGCGGACACAGCGAATTCACACACCATTGTGTGGCAACAGCCTTGCACAATTTTAAGCGCCCCTCGAGCGACTACGACCAAAAAGGTGTCTTCCAGTCATCGGATTATTCCTGGCAGACGGTCTTGGGCCACAGTTATTTTCATTTTGGCAATGGATTCCTGTTTATCCACGCAAGAGCATCTTCAGGGGAGATCACACCTTTTTTTTGTGTGTGTACACACTATGATAGCATACTGCCAGCTATTATATCAAAAAATAAACAACTGATCAAAACGCCCCGATTAAACGCACTAGACCGCTGGACAGTTCGAGCACGCTCAAAATCCCACTAAGGCATGCAAATTTATGCACAACAGGGGCACGCGAGACTCGCAAAAAACTGCGCCCGATTGCGTCACTAGATTGTCATCAACTCGCTGGCTTTTTTTTTTGGTCCCTTTCCCAGAGTAGCTTTACCCGCGCGTCACCTCCACCAGGTGAGCAAATAATTTAATCAAGCCTGCGAGGCAGTGGTGCAGCGTGATAACACCAAAGCCCGCCTTAGCCGCCCCCCCCCCCCTGGATTTCGGCTCTCCCTCGCCGAGCCAAGGTTGGAGAGGTCTCAAAAGGCCTGGCTGACCTCCCAATACGTCCCGGTATCGCACCCCAACGAGTGCGAGAGAGACAGCTGGGCAGCCTCTCGAGCCGCTCCGGCCTCTCAAGAGAACTCTCGGTCTCGGTTTGGCGCGGCTTGCTTCAACAGATTAGAGGTCCTATCAATTTGGCGAAGCCAATCAGCCAATCGGCGCGGCTCTGCCTCGCTCTGCCTGACTCCGCCGATCGCGCCACTTGACGAAATTTAAACAGGCCGCTAATCGGCGGTCTGGCGGCCGCGTCGAGTGGCCGGCTAGTCACTCCACGGACGCGGATAAGAGCGGAGGTCGCACAGTGTACCACGCGGGGCACCACCGCGCTCCGCCTCACTTCATCATTTTCACTCAACAGATATTTATTTCTACCTGCTTGTACGAGGGACAGCAATGACGGCTACCGTCCCGAACTGCGAGCCACTCACCCAACACGGACAGTCGGACGGACGGACAGACAGACACATTGTGCAACGCGTCCCACCCACTCGCATTCACGTTCGCGTCCACATTCACGCACGATGATCAATGGCCGGCGTTACGGCTGCGCGCTGCGCCGTGATAGGTCACAGGTGTGGACTGCTCACTCAAGGGAGGAAGCGATCGGACCGAAAGGGACAGACAGACAGACAGACAGACAGGCAGACAGACAGGCAGACAGACAGGCAGGCAGGCAGACAGACAGACAGACAGACAGACAGACAGGCAGGCAGGCAGGCAGACAGACAGACAGACAGACAGGCAGACAGACAGACAGGCAGACAGGCAGGCAGGCAGGCAGGCAGGCAGGCAGACAGACAGGCAGACAGACAGGCAGACAGACAGGCAGACAGACAGACAGACGGGCGTTACGCATCCGTCCAGGCGGGCGCACATGTTGATGCGACAGAGGCGTGGCGGCGCAAGGCGGGGCAAGGACCGACCTCTCGGCGCCCCCGCTCGGCGGGGAGGGTCTCCTTTCTCTGTCTCTCTCTTTCTCTCGGGCATCGACACGGCCGTCATGTCATCCTCCAGGAGGCCGAGACCTCCGCCTCCCACGCCAGGCTTCTCCCCAGCCGCCGCGCAGTGCGCCAGAAGACCGGTGGAGGCGGCCAAAACTCTAGACGCGCTCCAGAATCGCTGGATAGGACTCGACCCGAGCGTGTGGCCCCACCAATGGATTCCTCGTTCGGAGAGCAATCCGTTGGTGGGGTCGCACGTTCGGTTCGAGTCAATTCAGTGACTCTGGAGCTCAAAACGCGCACAGGATTTTGGCCGCCCCCACCGGTCTTCTGGCGCACCGTGCACCCAAAGGCAACGACAACTCGGCGACATCGAGTGCGTTCGAAACGCGGCGCGAATTTTGGTCCGTTCGTCCTCCGACGAGACGCGCTGTCCCACGTAGAGCGTAACGCAGCCGCTCGTGACAGTCCGCCAAAACGACGCACGACTTGGAAACCTTGCCGATGTCAAGTTCGCCGAATCGCCGCCTCGCGTTGTCTCCCTCCCACTCGCGGGGCGTCGCGCGCGGGAGCGAGAGAGACAGAGCGACTGAATTGCTGGAGAGGCACGTGCATGGCATTAGCGCTGTCACCGCGACACTGAAGGTCGCCGCGCCAAACCAGCCTCCCTCGAAACAATCATTTATCTCGTGAGCAGCGCGCGGGGCCGCGCAGGGCGGACGCCGGGGCTTCGTCGCCCCGTCTCTCTCGCCCCGCCGGCACGGTCCGCGAGTGCGAGAGAGACAGAGGCGCGGCCCGCCGGGCGCAGCCCCGCTTATCTGCGCTGAGGCCTCCCAGTGTAGGCCTCCCGGCAAGGTGGAAATCCTGCCTTTCAGACTTTCAGGGAACGGAGGCTGCCGGCGACACAAACTTTGCGCAAGCTTTGCTGGCACGCCGCTAGAGAGAGGCGGGCACGGACGGATACCCGTTTTTCGCAGTGAAGGGACAATTAAACGAAACGTCACACTTGGAAAAAAAATAAGCACAGACGCACAGGCCGTATTGCCCCTTTGGAAGGCAAGGCGTTCTTTTTTCCCTCCCCCAGTAAACAACTGTCTAGATGGTGCTCAGGCACGAGAATGTGAAAAGCCACGGACTTCTCTGGGTGCTAAAAGGACCGCATCACGCCACTTCTGAAGGTTTGAAAAAGTTAAAGTGAATACAGCTTCATCGTCGATTTGCGACATTTTTTTGTCGTTGGTGTCGCTGTTTTATTTTTAAATATTTGCCGCCGCCACTGTTGTGG